TATACATATATATATATATACACACACATATATATAGGCTAAATTGCAAAATATAGTCAATATCTTGTACGCGGTGGCAATATTATCCACCATCATAACGAATTTGCAATAGTAGCCAACAATTCTTTAAATTTTGTGATTATTACCCAAATTCGGCCAAATTTGACGGATAAATTACAACATATAACCAATATTCTTTTACAATGTGGCAATAATAGCCGTCGAATTTGGTCGGACATGGGTAATAACCTCAAAATTTTAAAATTTATTGGCTACTATTGCCAATTCATAAAGAGGTAGCTATTATTGTCACTGCATGCAAGATATATGCTATATTTTGCAATTAAACCTATATATATATTCAGTAAAAGTATTACCGCATTTGTACTGTATTTGCCATCTTCATCACTATCGGAACCACATCAAGATCTTGAAGTTCAAAATGAAATCTTCACTGAAACCCATGTTGATTGTTGTTCGTGGCATCAGAGTCTCAGGTTAACACTTTGGTTTGTGCCCTCATCTATAATACAACCTCAAAGAAATCTCTTGACAATCAAATTCTTTGAAGACAATCATCTTTTTCGGAGGCAACAAATTTCGGCAGCAATTTATGGCTATAGACTGGACTCCTTCATCGATGGCACAAAATCATCTCCAAGTCTTTTCATCACTGATCCAACATAACAAGAAGTCATCAATCCTCGATATGCTACTTGGAAGAGACAAGATCAACTCTTTTTCTCTTGGATTTTATCCTCACTTAGTGAATCCATCTTAGTCACCACTGTGGGACTCACCAACACTAATGATGTAATATCCCGTTATGTTAATTATATTAATCATGTATTTAGTTCCGATATAATAATATTGTAGATTATTATTTTCGGAATTAATTATTTCAGTCGAGATTTCTCGAAATTATTTTCGACGTCACGTTTACGTTCGGAATAATTTTGGTAATTAAGTATTATGCTTAATTAAATAATTAAGCACTTAATTATGATTAATTAAATGAGTAATCATGTGCAAAGCATAAATGCCGTAGCATTTTTTTTGTCGCATTTCAAGTAAATGCCGTGGGCATTTTATACTTAAGTGAGGAGACTTTTTTTTCTTCAATTCATATAGCATGAGGTGGCACATGTTGAGTGCTTAAGTGATGAATAAGCCTAGTTAAGTGATGAATTAGCATACAAGTCTTCTAGTAATGACAAGTGTCATGAAATTATGAAGCCAACAAAGCCCACCTCTCCCTATTCCTTTCGGCCGTACAAATATATATATGTTGTGTGTGGGGAGAAATCTTCCCCTTATACTTCATATATATGTTCCTAAGTTATTTTTAGTGTAGAGAGAGTTGGAGAAGAATTGAGCATTTTCCCTTAAAATTTAAGATAGCACACGCAAGTAGCTAGACGCAAGCACAAGAGCCGCACAGTGTAGCACGCACGGAAGCTTCGAGTGATCGAGCGTTGTGCAATTAGGCGAGCAAGCAGAGAGGTATCTTCAGCTCACTTCTTGTGATGTTGTTAGTAGCATCGTTTTTAACTATATCATGTTAGTAGAGTTCAGATATTGCAGCCTTAAGTTGCTCTCGGCCGTGTGTGTTCGGTCGTGTGAGCATGTCCATGGTTTGATTCAAATCGCTCGAACAACTTCATGTATTTAGTCATTTTATGCTATATCATGTTCAGTCAGCTTGTGTTGTTCGGAGAATTTTCACATTTAATCGTTGATTTGGCCGAAGGCGTGGTCGCGCACGTAGCGCGTACCACGGGCCATCACGTACCATGTCATGTTAGTTTTTATTGTTGTCATGTTTGTTCGAACAACTCATGGATAATTGATCATGTTATGTCCTTTTATGCTCAGTTAGTTTGTGTTTGCCGAGAAAAGATCATGTTCGGCCGAGAAATGGCTTAACGTCGTAGGCGGCGCACGGTGCGCTCGCCACGGCCATTTTGAGCACGTTATGCAAAAACCTTGATTTTGAGCATTTTCAGTATATTTGATCATATCAAGTCAGTTCATGTTATTTGATGTTGAGTTGCTCGAGAGAAATCGCCGAACGGCCGGCAAGGGCCGGTAGTGGCCGCGCTGCCCGCACACAGCGGTAGCAGCGTGCCGGCAGTCAGCCAGCGCGGACAGGCAGCATGCGCG